AAAAAGCCTTCGGGAGCTTTTTGATGTTTTCAAAGCCTTAGGGTCATCTGTAAGTCCTGCAGTGCATGATGTTTCCAAAAAGCCTTCGGGAGCTTTTTTGATGTTTTCAAAGCCTCAGGGTCATCTGTAAGTCCTGCAGTGCATGATGTTTCCAAAAAGCCTTCGGGAGCTTTTTGATGTTTTCAAAGCCTTAGGGTCATCTGTAAGTCATGCAGTGCATGATATTTTTAAGACCTCTGGAATGATGTTTTCAACATTTCAGTTTTACTCAAAAGAAGTCAAATGAAAAATTATTGTTTTTTTGTCATTGCTCTATTCTTGTTAAAACAAGAATGAGCAAAGAGGGGCAGCTGTAAATATCAATTTTTCATTTTACTTAAATTATTATTAAAATTATTATTATTATTATTAAATATTATTATTATTATATTATTATATAATTATTACAAGCCCAAATACAAACAATCCAGGCTCGTTTTACAACCAATTTGAACCAGGCCCGAGAAGCCTAAATTATTTTAGGGTTTCAGCTAGGTTTTCAAACCCTATCTCCTAGCCGCCATTTCCAGAAGTCCTCATCCGCCGCCGTTGATTCCAGAAGGCCACACATCCGTTGTCGACGCTCCACCAGTGCCACGAAGTCGCCTCGAATAAGCCTTCAGAAGCTCTACTGCCACAACACCGACCGTCCACGTCGCCTCTATGGTGAGTCACCAGCATAGCTTTGGTGACTCACCGAACTTTTCATCCTTTAGACCGGTCCGACGAGAGCCACATTGAGGCTATAAAGCCTCAGTTCCCCTGCAAACAGAAAAGAAAGAGAGGAGACAAACCAGAAAGGAGGAGACAATCAAGACACACAGACAGAAAGCAACGAAAAATAACCGAGAGAAGAGTGAAGAGACTTACCAAGCGGCGTCGGAAACCAAACGTCGTCAAACCGCCGTTTAATCGAAGGTAAAAAAACCCTCGGTTTATTTTAGATCTAGGGTTATCAGAGGGTTATTAGGAAAAACGGGGCTTGGATCTATGACAAGGGAAAATCGGGCTTCGATTTGGGGTGGATTTTGTAATTTTCGGCCACCGTTCACGGTGGTCGGCGGCGACAATCGGCCGGAACACGGCTGTCGATAGGAAACCGGAATCCATCCGGTGAAGAGAGAAACGCTTCTCTCGTTTTTAGAGATACAGAGGGAAAGAAGAGAATGAAGATGCTGGCCCTACGGGCCAGCCATTTGGGTATTTATATACCCTCCCCATACGGCGTCGTTTAGGGGAAGAGGGTGTGTGTGTAATTTTCATTAGGGGTAAACCCTGCCCGCAGCCATCATATTTTTTGTAAATTCCCATTTTAGTCACTAAAAATGAATTTTGAACCTTTTAATTCAACCTTCGAATTTTATTTTATTATGTTTTAGTCCTTACCTGTATTATACATATATTTAGGTTAAATGCCTTATTTAGTCCTTCATAATTTTTATAATTTATTTTTAACCCGAATTAATTAAATAAGGTTAAATACATTATTAGCATTAAGTTTTTTATTAATTCGAATTATGCCCTTTAATTTTGATATTTTACTTTTTTAGTCACCAATATTTTGTTTTTTTTTCACTTTGATCCTGATTGTTTTTATATATTTTGCAATTTAATATTATTGCTTTTAAATTTATTTTAAATATTATTTATTTATAATATTAATTTGTTATTGCTTTTATATTATTATTATTTTCATATTAGTCACATAAATATATATATATATTTTAAATAATAATGTATATTTATTTTCAATATCAAAGAAAAGGGCAGTCTTAATACATCTGGATGTCCTATTCTGGTATTTTAAATAATTAAATATTATAAAAATTATAATTTAATTTAAATTATTATATTTTTAATATTTATTTTTATTTATTAATATCGAAGAAAAGAGCTATCTTAAGGTACCTAGAAGCCCTTTTCTGATATTTTTAAATAAATAAATATCTTACTATATTAAAATAATTTTTTTATCTCAAGAAAATGTTTTAGTAATTTATTTATTTTTTAATATCAAAGAAAAGAGCTGTCTTAAAGCACCTAGAAGTTCTTTTCTGATATTTCTAAATAAGTAAATATCTTATTTATGTTTAATATATTTTCTTAAAAATATTTGAAATTATAGAATTATGAATTAAATATATCTTTGAATTTTTAAATTTATATTATTAGAGATAATTTATAATTAAAAAGTATCAATTTTGGGCGTTGTAGGGGTGCTAATCCTTCCCTAAACGTAACCGACCACGAATCAATTTTTATTATTAAAAAGAACGAATTTTTGGTTATAAACGCAGATCAGTTCATCTTTTAACTGATATTTTCTTAAGAACTCTTTTAAAAGATAATTTTTAGGTATTCGACCTACCTGACTCAAAGGGCCGATGGCGACTCCCAAATTATTTTAAAAACCATTTATTCACATCACTTTTCCCGCCAAATAAATATTTCGTTCCCGGACGAAAAACGGTTACGACAGCCATTTTGTTCGAGAAAAGATTCAAGAGGGAATAATTGAAACAAAGTATGTGAAGACAATGAATCAGCAGGCAGACATTCTAACAAAAGCTTTGGGAGTTCAACAACATGAATATTTGTGTTTCAAGTTGGGGTTAATTAATATCTTTAACCACCAACTTGAGGGGGAGTGTTAGTTGTCAGATATTTAGTTAGTTAAGCTGTTGGTAATTAGTTAGATTGCTGTTGTTAATTAGTTAGTTTGTTAGTGAGGTTAGTAACTGTTAGTGGCTGTATATAAAGGCTTTAGTTTTGTAAACTGATTATTATGATGAATAAAATAGTTGGAGCACGTTTTCTTTAAATATGCCTTTTTAACAATAAACATATATTGTTTTATAACTAATATTTCAAATGATAATTATGAATTCAATTAATGGGTACGGTTATAATTTTTTGTTTTGTAAATATTATTAGTGGCTGTTGCAATCAAGGTGTATAGATTTTGTTAACGATGCAACCATATTGTGGATCCAATTAAATGACGAATTAATTGTTGCGGAGATAAGCTCCATTGCATGTCTCGAACTGGACGACATAATTTCCACTGCTATGCGATACCCTACCCTTGCCGACAGTGATATCGGTTCAACTGTCACCATTTTATTTATTAATTTATCGATCAATTTTCCTCTAAATACCAATGTCCAGTTCACAAGTAATCTGCTTTTTTTCTCTCTCTTTCGTATTTTTCCCTTTTTTTCTCTCATATAAATAATTTTTATTTTGAGTATATATAAATCTAAATGAATTGTATTAATTTTAAGAGATAACACAATGTTTATTTTTTGATTACATCAATTAAATCAAAATTAATTTTAAAATAATAACTATAATCATAATACAATAAATATATTTTATATTTTTAAACATTTTTTACTAATTAATTGTAATGTGTTTGTTTTACATCAATATCTGCGACATAACATTCTTATTTCATTCGGGTAATACTTTTATTTGAAAACGATGGGATTTAATTCAGACAATGGCAAAATGGATGGTTGAAAGAGAAGTTAGATGAACATTGCTAAGTTCAAAAAGTTCGATAATTAGATGAAGCATTGCCGTTAAGAAAGATACGTAAACAGAGGGATTGGCGCAAAAACCGGAGATTTCTGAGCGACAGAGACAAACAGCGCCGTATCGACAGTTTCCGCAGATCAGACACCATAATATCAAGACAAGAAAATTTAAAACCAATAAAGAAAATATAATTAAAAAAATGATTTTAAAACCGATATCTGATTGGTTGCTCAGAGCCTTCACTAATCGGTTCTGGGTAAATAATACTACTGTTGTTTTACAACTGTTTAGCAGACGCGAATCAGTCAGAAAAAAATGGAGGAAGCCCACGTCGTAGTCCGTGCCGATTTGGCCACATGCAAATACTGACCTTGACTTGATACTATGCCATTGCCGTTTGCCAGCTTGCTCCGAGTTTTACCGAAGTTGCTAAACTGTCATTTGTTCATTTACTAGCTGCCTACAAATTGACACCAGCCTTCTTGTTATTGGTGCAAACTGCTATCTACTGCCGCTGCGCCAGTGCTGACTGCCGAGGCCCGAGGAAGGGAGGAACTAGCTTTGGGCACTTACCTCGGTTACCAGCCGATACCTCAAATGAGATCAACTGGAATGTTACCAAGTGTCCGATATTGTCACACGTCGAATGAGATAGTTCTCAGCTAGCATATGGGCTTGATCACTCCATTTTATTACTCTGTTCAAGGCCATTGCCACAAACCCAACGACCCAAGACCTCTTAAACATTTGTTACTCTTGATGGGAATAAAAAAGTTATAGTGGTTATTCACGGTTAATTTTCTTTGATTTCGAAAGAAAATCGTAACTGATTATTTAGTGACCAATCGTTGTTTGAACTTTTTATCTCTATAAGGAGAAAAAAGAGGAATGAGTAATTTTTTTTCTTCTAAATTTTTCTCTTAATCTTGGTCGAAAGATTTTATAATAATTTTTAATGTTGGTGTCAATTGTATGATCATGATGACTACTCATAAATTGGTAGATCTAATAGATACAAACGATTGAAAATATATTTTGACTCTGACAGATCCAATAATCATGTCAAAGATAATGTAAAGAGATCGCAACTTCTTGAAAAGTATCAAGCTGGTAAGTCTCTATGTTTTGAGATATTATCATGAGCTTCAACTACGTTTACGTATGAATTCTCCAGAGGTTTGAGCCCTTTCTGCCTTCTTCTTCTTTATCAATTTATTAAAAAAAATTAAACAGAAACTACCTTATAATCACATGTGTATATATATATATATATTAATATTTGAAAAATTAAAACCATTTATCCGTTGCCATTTCCCGTTACCTAAAAGCCCAAACGGCCGAACTCAACCCAAGTTGAATACAAAAGAGAAAGAAAACCCCCGATTGTCGACGTAGCCCAAAATCGATTTATTCTTATAAACCCAAAACCAGCACTGTGCCCTTGCCGCCTTCTTCTATATCAGTTTTCAGCCTCCTTTGCGGGAATTCTCTGAATTGTGCTGAAGGGTTGCCATTCAGCTTCGAGGTTTCTGGGCGCCTTTTGTTTTTACGATCCTTGATTCGCAGCAATGGGAAGAGCAAAAAAAGCACCTAAAGTTGCTCGCATGAAGAAGATGGTCACTCAAAAAGCTATTAAAAAGCAAGTTTTTTAATCCTCTTTTGTTTCTCTATTTTGCTTTAATAAACGTTTTAAATCATGAGAATCAACTGTTTTTATGTAAAATTTCAGCTACAAGGAGCAAGTTTTGAACCCAAACAGGAAAGACCTGACCAAGGAAAAGCTCCCCAGAAACGTGTAAGCTTTACTTATATTGTTTTATGCTGTTTCTAGTTCTTCTCTACATTTTTTTGTTATGGTTTTGTTTTAAAGTTTTAACACTTTATGGATTCCTTACCAATTTCGTTAATTGATATTTGAACCAGGCCGAATGTTTCTTCTGCCCTTTTCTTTACACACAATACCTCCTTGGGACCGCCTTATCGTGTTTTGGTTGACACCAACTTCATCAATTTCTCCATTCAGAACAAAGTAAGTGTTCTAGTTGTTGTCCGCTTCAATTTACTGTACTGTTTAATTTTATATGATAATGGAAAACATGGATATTTTATATAACGTTTATAATCCTCTTCCAAAGTAAAAAGAAATTGTAATGCTAATTTAATCTGCCTGCCCTTTTCTTATGATTGCTTTTGTGTTGTCATTGTAACTTCTTAACATCTTTTTTTTTTTCCTTTGGTAGTTGGACCTGGACAAGGGAATGATGGACTGCTTATATGCGAAATGTGAGTTATGGAGTCGATTTTCGTTTGAACATTACTTTGAATACATGTTCTATTTTTCTTTATTGCTGATTCTGTCCTTTTTACAAAATTGTTCCTTGTTTATTTCTGAAGCTGTATATTCTTTGAATATGAAGGTACTCCTTGCATCACAGATTGTGTGATGGCTGAGCTTGAAAAGTTGGGCACCAAATACCGGGTGGCTCTGAGGTAAAGTCTCCATTCCTTTATTATGCAATACCCCTTTGCAGGTTTATCTGACCAAATGCATCTAAATATTAACACACAGACACACACACTCTCTCTCTCTTAAATTTGGCCCTAATATTTGAAACCTTGATTCATTATTTTCTACTGCAGTATGTGACTTATTTACAGTTATTTCTGAGCTTCTTTTGTTGAATATTTTGTTTTATTTAGATAATGTCAATGTCTATCTCTTTGAATTCGCCACTCTTATTTTCCGTTGTATTAGCTAATATATGTTCTAACTCTGTCTCTTTCAGGATTGCTAAGGATCCTCGTTTTGAAAGATTGCCGTGTATTCATAAAGGAACTTATGCTGATGACTGTATTGTTGAGAGAGTTACACAGGCATGAACTTCGAGCATAATTCCATTCTCACCATGGGGCATTTGTTATCCAAAAAAAAGAGAGAGAGAGAGAGAGAGAAATCAGTAGATTTGTTTGATATGTGTCCATGAAATGTATACTTGATGTTTTGCCCTATAAACACAGGGCACTGCAGTTTTGCATCATGGATAGTTAGAACTTATAACAAATCAAGAATGACTCCTACCAACCATTTTAGGGGAAAAAATGATCTGAAGTATCTCTATCTTACTTTGGAACTATGGACTTTTTAGGATGTAAACTTCTGGACTTGTCCTCAAAGTATCTTCCTGTCATTTGTAGCTAGTGCAACTGATAGTCTATCTACATGAAAACTTTAGCGGTAAGACTGATTATTAACGATGGTTTGCCATAACATCTTGGGACCTCTGGTATCTTGTATATGACATAACTTCAAGTCTGCTGCATACTTACTGTTCATAGTTATATTCCAGAAGTTTGTCTGGCTAAGCATAGTACTTTTTCATGTTTCATTCATTTATTATTTTCAGTAAAGGTTTGGATCTGGAATTATGTTAATAAGACATGCATTTTGTTATTTGAATTTATAACTATTTTCCTTTCCTCTTTGTTTTTTTTTATTTGTATTTTCTTTAAATCTGAAGTTTATTCATTCTGCATATTGTTATTTTTATCAACTAAATGTTTCAATGGAAACAGCACAAATGCTTTATTGTTGCTACATGTGATCGGGACTTGAAGCGAAGGATTCGTAAGGTTCCTGGTGTGCCGATCATGTATATCACTCAGCACAAGTATTCAATAGAACGACTTCCTGAAGCAACTATTGGTGGAGGTAGGCTACATAAATACTGTTTTCATTATGATTTTCTTCTTTTATATGTTACTTATTTTTGGGATTTCTATTTTATTTGCAGCTCCAAGATTTTGACATTATAGTAGCAGTGGTCTCCGAATTCTATTTTGTACGAGATGTCAGGCTTCAAGATAGTTGATCCTATGTAGCAAGCACTACTCCCAGTGTTTCATTTATCTTTTTTCCTTTTTAACATAGTGCATGCCTTTGGTAGTTGATTTTAATGGGTGATAGTATGAGAGGTGTTTACAATTCTAGCTTTTTTAATGACAATTGTATCTGAGTTTGCTAATGTCCCCACATTCTTCATCCACCTCTCAAAAACTCATTTTAATCTTCAGTAAAACAGGCTTAATTATTCTCCTTTCTCTCGCGGTAATCCTTGGATTAATCTTACCCTGGTCCGGCCTGTGCCGATCAATGTTCTCTAACTCGAAAATGACATCTTCCCTCTCCACATGGTGGGACTATTCTTTGGCCCCGCTTTTTCATTGCCAAAAATGGTGCCATAATTGTCTGTGCCGTCAGCCAACCCTGCCTTTTCTCAACAATTGGTGGATCAGTATTACCAGACAAAAGCACCAAATGCAAGTCCTTTTAATAGCTGAGGATTATGATACTCTTTGTGACTTAGATGAACATTTGTCGGATTTCAATCAGATCCGGATCGGTTTTTATCCGATTCGGTTTTTTCTCATAGAAAAAAAAACCGGTTTATAAAATAACCGGTTCGGTTTTTAACCGGTTTGGAGGGCCAGATATCCTAACCGGTGTAACCGGTTTCGGTTTTAAAAAAACCGGTTATAAAAAAACCGATTTTAATATTCCAGATTGCTCATAGGGAATCGATTCCCCCCAAGGGGGTACCGATTCCTCACTGAATGGTTTGGCTCCGAGATTTCCAGAATGCTCGGAGGGAACCGATTCCCCCATAGGGGGTACCGATTCCCCCCTATTCAACGGTCGAAATATTTGAATTTTACACTTAGGGAACCGATTCCTTATGAGAGGAAACCGATTCCCTATGAGAGGGTACCGATTCCCCCACGCTCCAAGCATTTTTATTAAATGTTTTCACACTTAAACGGCTATATTATCTTCATTAATTATCACTAACGTTCAGAAGTGATTCAAGGTGTATTTAAGCAAGCTTAGAAGCCATTGATCAAAGACAAGAAACATCAAGCAACTAGAATCAAGAGAGAATCAAAGAGAAAGCATCAAACATCAAGTTCGATAAATTCAAATACTTAATTGAAATACTTAATTAACTCAACATAATTGAAATACTTAAATACTTCCAAGTTTGATAAATTCAAATACTTAAAAACTTCCAAGTTCGATAAATTCAAATACTTAAAAACTTCAAGTTCGATAATTGAAACAAAGTTTACGATAATTGAAATAAAGTTATAAAATAAACTACATTGCCATCTCTTCTTCATCATCTTCGCCTTCTTCGTTTGGAGGGGATATTCCAAGTTCGACTTCTTCAATGTGTAAGTTTGCTTCCAAATCGGTATCAATTGCATCTTCTAGGGTGGTGATATGTTGCTTACGAGCCGCTCCATCCAAATAATCCTTTAAACAAATGCATACTTCCACCGACTCGGGACTTAGTCTTGATCTCCGTTGCGATATAACCCTGCCACTAACAGAAAAAGCGGATTCCGAAGCTACCGTAGAAGCTTGGACGGTTAGTAAATCACGGGCCATGGCGGCTAGAATCGGAAACTGTGCTTCCTTTTCTTTCCACCAAGCCAAAATATCCAAACTTTCAAACTCTTCAAATGTCATTTTTGATAGAAAATCGCATGACATGTAATTTCTCAACTCGCTACTTGGGGTGGTAGTACGTGATCGTTTGGATTGGGAATTTACAAGAGTGTTAAAAAGATTCAAATTTATGTTACTTGGACGTCTACTAGATGATTCTGCATTCATTCTCATTTGATCGTGTATTACACTACTTGATCCGTATTTAGTTAAATAAATTGCAAACATGTCTCGAAAACATTTGTTAAAATAATTTATTTGGTTTTGGACAAAGTTGGGTTCATCATCGGTTAGATTAAAAGCAAACGCAATTTGTTCAATTAATGTTTCAACCCCACCAACATTTAACGTTGGGTTTAAAGCGGCGGCACAAGTAAAAATGGGGGGAATCTCCTCAAAATATTTTAAAAGTTTTTCCTTCATTGCAAAGCCAATTTCTTGAAAAACTTCGGTTTCAAATTCAAAGTCATTTAGTCGGGTAGCCAACAAAAATATTTGATTAAGAACCAACGGGCTAGTAGGGTAATAAACACCGGATAAAAAAGTTGTTGCATTTTTAAAAACCTCAAGCAAATCGGTTATTTTGGCTATAGTTTCCCAACTCGAATCCGGATAAATGTTTGGGACATGACCCCTCTCGAAAAGCCGATCGTGAAATGTTTGCAATGTTTCCCTTTGCCTCAAGGCAGTATGCATCATCATCCAAGTTGAGTTCCAACGAGTTGGACAATCCAAATTAGGACCCAAAGCTTTTTTATTAACGGACTTACAAAATCGTTTATAATCATTTAGTCTTTTGTTGTTGTTACAAAGAACCGATTTTATCATTGTTTTAAATTCTAATCTAATCGGCTCAAAAACCTCCAAACCGGCTTGCACGGATAAATTAATTATGTGTACAACGCAACGGGTATGAAAAAACGCACCGTCTAAAATCGGTGAAAGTAATATTTTCAATCTTGGAACCGCGTTTGTATTATTCGATGCATTATCAAATGATATAGAAAAAACTTTATTTTCTAATTTATAAAGACAAATTACCCTTTTTAAAAGTGTAAATAAATTAGCACCGGTATGCGGCTCACCGAATAATTCAAACGCGATTGTTCTTTTCATCATTTGCCAATTATCTTGATCTAACCAATGTGACGTAACGGCTAAAAAAGAATTTCCGGTATTATGAGGAGAACTCCAAACGTCACATGTAAGCGACACACCATAACGGTGTTCTTGGAATCCTAAAATCATTTTTTCCCTCGCCGTATGCCACATTTTTATAGCATCTCTTCTAAGGGTAGTACGACTTACTTGAGTATAAAGTGGTTGCATTAGTTGTTGAATTGTTATCGTGAAATCTTCATCATCAAAGTGGTCGAACGGCAATGCTTTTGTAATCACGAACTTTGTAAACGCTTCTCGTAATTTTTCGTTGTCGTAAACAAAAACACCACCTTGCGGTGTAAGATTCGATTGACTATGATCTGATCTTGAGCGAAGTGCCTTGCATGATTTTGTCAAATGGTTCTTCAACGTTGTGTTTCCTTCCGATGCAAGAAACTTTAGACAAAGTTTACAACGCGCCCTCCTCGAGCCATTTGACATCTCACATAAATCGTAGTGATCCCAAATGTCTTTGTTTCGAGTGTGTTCGATCACTCTCACGACTTCAAGGTTTTCCCCGACGGAAGATTCAGCCGTGTTACTCATGATGAACAAAAAATTACAAAAGTAAGATTTGAGAGATGTTTAAGTGTTGTGTAATAAGATTTGAGAAATTTGTAATCAACCAAATACATCCCCAACCTATTTATACATGTTTAGGGTGGTAAAATGGTAATTTTTTAAAGAAAAAAACGGTCACAAAACCCTCCCAACGGCTATATTAACGGCTAGTTTTTTAAACCCAGACCGGTTTTTTTTTCCGGATAAAAACCAGTTTTTTAACCGGTTTTTTTCAAACCGGTTTTTTATCCGGTAAAAAAACCGGTCTAGGTTTTTTTCTCCAAACCGGTTAAAATAACCGGTTTTAAAAAAATCCGATCCGATTAAAAAAAAACCGGTTTTTCCCAAATCCGGTTTCGGATATTTTTTTCGTAAAATCGGATATTCGGATTTTTTGTGCCCCTCTAATTGTGAGGTTGATGAAAAAGGCCACTCGATTCACAATTGGAAAACCTTTATCACTTCTAACCTGCAGAACAAAGTAGAACCCCAATGTTCATATGCTTCTATGGTCTCAGATGGCACATGGTTTAATTAGAAGATGACCATTTCTTCATCAATCAGAGCAAGGTCAAATTAGAATGGGCTTTTGCAAACGTGGTCAATCAAGTTTTTGTCACAATTTTCAATTTTGCCTTGAGATTGTGCAAATAGAATGCTTGTTGTTGTGTAGAGTCCGTGTTTGTAATCTATGCGTTTGTGGATGGGGCAGAAAAAAAGGCTAAATAGTACTTTTGCGTTAGCCAGGAATCGATCCTGGGTCTATTGCTTAAAGACAATTATCTTAACCGTTGGATTAGAAAGAGTATAGGCTGAAGTCCAAATTTATATGTTTTATTCTCAAAATTATTTCTCGATAAACACTGTAAATAAATGTCGGACAATAGTGAACAAACGGGACTTAATCATATTATTATGTTAAAGTCACTAATAAATTTATTTATCGGTTGTGATGACTGATGGATTTCATTATATATAAAAAACGAAATAGTAGAATCATATTTGATTGAACATTCCTGCTGCTAATAAATGAATTATTTTTTAATATTTTATTGTCTCGTTTTTTGCTCTTCAAGAAGCTAGATTACATCTATTGAATGAGCACGGTTGTTGTTTTCATCTTCTTTGTGGCTTTTTTGCAGATGTTTTTACCATGTTCAGTGATGGACACATCCCCAGATTCCTTCTTGGATGGTAGAGATCATTTGGTATTTAGAGAATTGAGATACTTGAAAGAGATGGGTGGGTTGGATTTTGGTGAAGATGTCATTTTGGAACCCTGTAAGCTTTTACAGAGATTTCAGAGAGAAAATAAACAAGTGAATTTGGAATCTTCATCTGCTCTCAACTGTAGCCAACACCTGTTCCAATATAAAGCCTCAACTTGTATTGGTTAGTGAAAATAATTCTTTCATTTTTTTTGTTATTTGATTTTTTCCCATGCTCTGCTATTTATGATATATGTTTTCAAAAATTTTACTCGAAGGTGTTTGCTATCTATCGGTTGATCCACAATATTTGCTAACGGATAATATTTGTTTATTGGCAGGTTCCCGGTGTGCCGATTATGTATATCACTCTGACTCAGCACAAGTATTCGATAGAACGACTTCCCGAAGCAACCATTGGTGGAGGTAGGCTACATAATACTGTTGCCATTTCTTTTATAGGTTACTTATTTTTGGGATTTTTATTTTATTTGCAGCTCCAAGATTTTGACATTATAGTAGCAGTGATCTCCGAATTCTATTTTGATACGAGATGTCAAAGGCTTCAAGATAGTTGATCTTATGTTGCAAGCACCTACTCCCAGCGTTTTATTTATCTTTTCCCTTTTTATATTAACAAAGTGCAGGTCTTTGATAGTTGA